CCACCTACCTCCTATTCTTATCACACCATCCTCTGAAGAGGTTACTCAAATTGCCAATAGGGAATCAGGACACAGATCACTCTGGCTTCTTCCATGCTACACAGGGACGCAGGGTGAGGCAATTGGAGTACCCCTTCTGTGGGTCTATCTAAAAGACTCCCAAATTGCGTAACTCTTATCTCTAGGGGGGAAGAAAGTCCTTGAATCTTGAATAGGAGATGTGAAAGAGAAGTAATGGCAAGAGTAATTAGCATTACAAGTCCTAGACAGGGAACTAAAAAAAGAACAGGGCAATTTTCAAATGTTCACATGAGAGTCCATTGGAATTTCTTCACAAGGGCTTTCAGAAGCAGCCCTCTATTGGGTTCTTTCTCAATTTTCTTTTGTCTTCCAAGACTGGATTCTAGAGTGATGGATTCAGGATTTGCTTTCAGGTATTTTGGTAGCTATTGGAGTGATTAGAATCAGTGCCAGTTCCCTCTCAAAGGCTTCAAGATAACTGAGGTGTATGTGTGAACTGAGGGTATGCACACTGGAAAGCCTTTACCCAGCATGGGTCATGCCTTCTCTCCCTAGCCTTCCCATATTGTATACTTTAACCCTCCCCAAATCCAGGAGGCTATGTGTGATTAGGGCCAAATTACATATAGTTGGCTTAGAGGAGTGGCTGGATACTCTGGCGAGGGTTCAATGACCCTGCTTGGCCCTCTTTTTTAATGAATGAGCACAACTGTCACTAAGGCCAATTGTGATGATGTTTAGCTATCACGCTCAGCTGAAGACATGATGATGGTAGTTATTTCATGCAGAAGGGACTGCTGTATAGCATCATCTTATTAAAAGGACCTGGAATTTAAAAGGATTTGGTGCTAGGATCCACATATGAGGGAGAACATATGTTGTTTGTTTTTCTGAGTCTTTGTTACTTCACTTAGTATAACACTTTCTAGACCAATCCATTTACCTGCAAATTTCATTATTTCATCTTTCTTTACTGCTGAATAGAACTCCATTGTGCAAATATACCACATTTTTGTTAACCACTTGTGAGTTGAGGGACACTTAGGTTGCTTCCATCTCTTAGTTACTGTGAAAAGAGCAGCAACAAACATGGTTGTACAAGTGTATCTACAAGAAGATGAATCCTTTGGGTATATGCCAAGGAGGGATATAACCAGGTCGTAAGGTAGGTTCATTTTTTTTGTTTTTTAAGAGTTCTCCACACTGTTTTCCATAGAGGCTGCACAAGTTTGTAATCCCACCAGCAGTGAATGAGCGTTCCCCTTTCTCCACATCCTTGCCAGCATTTGGTATCATTTGTTCTCTTGATCCTAGCCAGTCTGATTGGGGTAAGGTGATACCTTAGGGTGGTTTTAATTTGCATTTCCCTAATTACTAATGACGTTGAACACTTTTTGATATGTTTCTTAGCCATCTTTATTTCTTCCTTTGAGAACTCTCTGTTTAGATCTTTAGCCCATCTTTTAATTGGGTTGCTTCTTGTC